TTGGGCTTTTCAATATATATATATATATATATATTATTGAATTAATATGAAAAGTGATATTACCTTGTAAATGAGCATCTCGACCAACAACATATCGAGCTCATGCGCCTCGTGGGGTTTGGCCTTCTCCATCGCCTTTCTTAGCAGCGCCACCGCCACCTCCTCTTTCCCGCTCATCTCTAGCTTTCCTGCCACGCTCTGCAATGGTTTTTAATGCTTAGAGATGGCATCTTTTGTAAATTTAACGTTCATCGTTGGCAAAGTTTATCTTACTCTAACATCGAGCCCCTTCGGGCTCATGTTTGTTCTTGGTCAGGAGAAAATATTACATACGCTGAACGTATATATGATGAGATTCCCGTCTGGATCATTGTCGTACATACGTTTCACTTTATGTAATATTAACAACATTGATAATGATAGGTAGGGCTGTCAAAACGGCTCGTTGTTTGCGAACAGCTCTTGTTCGGTTCGTTAAGAAGCTTGTGCTCGGCTCATTCCCTAAGCGTTCGTGTTCGGTTTGTTCGCTAAGTTAATGAGTCGAACACGAATAACACGAACAAATACTTGTTCGTTCGTGTTCGGCTCATTTTGGCTCGAAATATATATATATATATATATATATATATCTTTGATGAGGAATATTTTTGTACTTTTAAAAAAATTAATTGAGTACAAGGCTACAAAGTTTTATAATCAGATAAAAGTATTAATGAAGAAAACAAAATAAAAATTATTAAATTAGATTCAATGATACTTTTAAATTTTGTTACAATTCTTAAACATCTTATGACTACGTGATTAGGGTTGTTAAAACTGCTATTTGTTCATGAACGGCTCGTGTTCTGCTCGCTAAGCAAACAAGCCGAACACGAACACACTTTTTGATCTCGAAATATAAACCAGCCGAGCATAAGTTGAGCCTGGCTCGCTCATGTTCGACTCATTTACACCCCTAATGATAGGGGTTTGTAGTTAAAAAAACAAAGTTTAGGTGATAGATATGTTAATGCATGGGAATTGGGTGGTATGTATGTAAATGCCCCATTCATATATCTAACACATAAAGTTTAGTTTTTGTATGTATATTATTTATTTCTGTGATATGAAAGACTTTGGTGGTATAAATATAAAAAAAAAGTTTAGATATTAAATATGTAAATATAGAGAAATTTGGTGGTACATATGTAAATATTCTTTGTTAAATCAATTAAAATTAATTTTTTAATTTTTTTTTATTGATCAGGCAGATTGAATGAAAATTTAATTTCATTATTCTAATATCTTTTAAAGACCTGCATGTACGACTGTCAAAAAAGCTTGTTGTTCGCGAACAACTCGTGTTCGGCTCGTTAAGTAGCTCGTGTTCGGCTCCCGAACACGAACATTATAAACGAGCTGAATATGAACAACTCTTTGTTTGTTCGTATTCCGCTCATTTCAGCTTGAAATAATAATAAAAAAAAATCATATAATTTTTTATATAATAATATATTACATATATTATTTATATAATAATATATTATGTATATTTATATCTAAGTTTGAAATGTAAGTGTTAGTTTGGTGATGTGATTATGTGCCTTCTTTTGTATTCATTTGGTCCAGGTTCGAATCCACTATTTTACATTTATTTTTTCAGTTTAATTTTAACGAGCCAATTTCGAGCCGAACATGAACACACTGTTCACGAGCCGATTTCGAACACGAACAATTTCTCGAATGACCAGACCGCGAGCCAAGCCTGAGCTCGCTCAAGCTCGGCTCGTTTACAGCCCTACCTGCATGCTAATTTTTTTGAAAGATTTAGATACAAATCAGTCAATTCTTACTTATTTACATATCTAACACATAAAGTTTAATTTTTATATGCATGCAACCTTGCTTATTTAGAAAAAAATGTTATAATTGTATTTTTTATGTGATATAAGAGATTGGGGTGGTATAAATGTAAAAGTTAAATTTTAGGGGGTAGTGGTATATATATATAAATATATTAAAATTAGGTGGTAAATATATAAATTTTATGTGTTGATGTTCATTTTGAAATGAATTCAAGAACTTTAAAAGCTACCATGCCATAAGCCAATTTTTATCATGTTCATATTTATCTATATACAATTAGGTTTGTTAACGGTTCGATTTCGATCCTAACATGGCACAAAGTCATTTGAATAGATTTAGTACGACATGAAATCGGCTCGTGGCTTATTATATTCAGTTCTAGAAATTGAATCTAGCTCAATTTGGCTTGAAATAATAATAATAAAAAACTAGTTCAAATTGAGTTATTTGTATCCCTTTGAGCTCAAAAAGCAATTCAATCCGGCTCAAAATTGAAACTCATAGGCTCAAATTGAGTTATTTAGAACTGTATTAGCTCGAAAAATTTGCTTGAAATTGGCTCGTGACTTGCTATATTCAATTTTGCATAGAATTATAGATATAACTTTTATAAATAAAAAATACTACGAGTTAGTCTAGAGTTAGTTCCAACAGATCCATATTTGACTTGAAATCAGCTAAAGATAAATCCAACTCAATGTTTTCGCTCATAGCTTAGCTGATTTATTTCGATCTGATTAGAATCCAAACCAAAATTTAAATCGATTTTTGAGAGATAAACAACCTTCAAACTAAGGATTTGTTTGGTTTAGCTGTAGATATTTGAAGAAATAACTTTGAAGCCGCTAAAGGAACTATTATTCAAAATGATGTGGTAGCTATTACAAATTTTTTTTTCTTTTTTGAAAAAGTCTGACCGTAACTTTCTAACAGCAACCACATGTTGTCAGCTATGGTGAGAAAACACAATTTTTACTTTTAGTTTTTTGAAAAAAACAGTTTTGCCAAACAATAGAAACTATGATGAGACACTACACCGTAACTTCAACACCGCCCCTAAGGACGAGTGTATTTTTTGTCCAGACTCCTGACATAGCTCTACGTGCGACGTAGGTTATTCATGAGTTATTTTCAGGTTATTTTTTGGTCATTTTCAATAATCCTCAAATAAGCCATAAATAACCCGCGGTCTTTATTTTTAGGTTATTTCTGGATTATTTCAGTAATTGAAAATAACCTAGAAATAATTTGAAAATAACACAGAAATAATTTACGTCAGGAGTCCGCACAGAAAAATCAAAATTCACATCCTACCAAAAACCTACTCTTTAATGTTAATGGGCTAACTGCATCCCCATAAAAACCGAAACCAAACCTGCAGCTTGCCGAACTGCATCCGTCCATCCACCGGCTTAAGCAGTTTCTGGAATTCGACCTCGGCTTGATCAAGCTTCGCATCACTCAGCCTCGCCTCCTGCGCTGCGATGATCCTCTGCAAAGCCAAACGGCCGCCGTGGAGCACCGCAATGGACATGGATCGCTGCAGCACCGGTCTGATCGATTCCGCGTGCGCGTCATCCCTTCGCCGTCGCCGGAGAGCAGTGTTCGCGCGGCTTCGGGTTTTGTAGGCAAGCGCGAGGCATATGCAAGTGAAGAGGAGCGGCGCGACGGTGCTGGGGCGGGTGAGGATGTTGAGGCAGGAGGAGCTGGCTTGCTGGATGTTGGAGGCTAGGCGGGTGAGCAGGGAATGCTTGGGTGGTTGGGGATGGGGATGGGGATGGTTGGTCTGGAGGGTTTGGATTGTGTTGGGTTGGTTGTAGGGAGGATGGTTTTCGGCCATGGTGGGGTGGAGAATAAGAGGAGGGGAGGGGGGAGGTGAGGGAATTGGGGCTTTGCTTGTTGGGGGAGGAGAGAAGGGAGGGGGATGGGCTACGCGAAGGATGGCATGGAGAGTAAGTAATGGATTTTGGGTTTTTGCTTTGGTTGGGTTTGTCTAGTTTGCTTTCTTTATATTGATGTTATGGTATTATTATTATTATTAATTAAATGATATTGAATGGTTCAAATAATACTCATATTAAACACAGACTGAATTTAATTATAAAAATTGAGGTTTTCAGTTTATAAAATTTATGTGATTGATATGAATTTAAATGGTGTTAGAATTTAGATTTGCACGTGAGTCACACCCAATGAGAGGCTAGAGAGAGAGAGAGAGAGAGATTCTAAGTGTCCTTTATGTGCCAAGTTTTTTATCCTTCTAAAAAAAGCCCTCATTTACATTTAATGCTCTCTTGATTTATAAGGGGCTAGAATTATTGTAATCAGATGACCCATATACCTCTTATTTGTTTGGTTGGTCGACTTTTGATCAAACACTTATAGTCCGTTCATATTCCAATTGATTGGTCTATGGCGGGTCATCCTCATGTTTGACGACCTTCGATCGACTGACCCTTGAATGGATTGGTCTCGAGAAGGTCAACCTCTGATCGGTTGGCCCTTAATCGAATGGTTTCTGATCAATCACTCGTTCGATCAGTCTTTGATCGGTTGCCAGTTTGATTAATCTTTTATAGGCCACCTGCTCGATCGCTCTCTGATCAGTGGTCCGTTCAATCAACCTTTGAACAATCGCCGGCTTGATCGGTCTCTGATTAGTCGCTTGCTCGATCAATCTCCAATCAGTAGCTCGCTTGAACATTCTCTAATCAGTCGCTCGTTTGATCAGTCTCTGACCAGGCAATCACTATTGTTCAGTTGTCTTTACTTTAGAGACATGTACATCTTTCAAGGGTTATCTTTTGACATGTGCCTTATTTTGAACCGTCAGATCCACGAAAGATTCAAATAAGAGCTTTTTTGTTGTAAATTTTAGATCCAATTTAATTAAAGTTATTTTTAAAAGAGATTAAGAGGGTATTAAATTGAAACAAATTTACTTTACATATAATTTTATGAAAATAAGTTGAACATTTTAGAGCACACTTAATTAAAGTTATTTTTAAAATAGGTTTAGTGGGTTTCAAATTAAACAAGATTCAGTTTACATATAATTTTATTAAAATAAGTTTAACTTTTTAGAGAGCATTTAATTGACATTGTTTTAAAAGAGAACTTGAACTTCATAATTTAATTTTTTTCAAGTAATTTTATGTCTAAATTATTAAATGTGTTAATCATTATAACCTAACATGCAATTTTTGCAAGTGATCTTGTCTTAGACCCATGGACTTGCTAACAATTGATTGTGTTACACAAGTATCACACACTTTCACAATTATCTATTGCACATACAATACAACATGCCTAAAGTATGCTTTCTAGCAAACATTAAACAACCTATTTTCCTAACATGAATTTTTAATAATCTAAACCTAAATTCTAAATTTATATAACATCACATGAATTTAGCCAATCCTAAACATAAGTTCTATTTTCACAAAAGGCCAACATAAACTTAAGTTCCTAATCATGAGTTTCAATTTCACATAAAACATAAGCATGTTATGAATTTAGGTAGATTAAACATAAGTTCTAATTTCACATGAAGCAAACATAAGTATGTCATGAATTTACGCAACCTAAATATTGATTTTATTTCACATAAAGCCAACATAGACATTTAATGGGTTTAGGGAACCTAAACACAAATTCTAATTTCATATAAAGAGCAAACATAAATAATTCATGGGTTTGAGGAACCAAAACATGAGTTCTAATTTCATACAAAGAGTCAACATATATATTTTATGAGTTTCAAGAGACCAAAACATGATTTTAATTCCACATAAGGAAAACATACTCATCACATGGGCTTTAAGTGACTTAAGCATGAATTTCAACTCCACATAAGGAAAACATACAGATGTATGAGTTTCAATTCCACATAAGGCAAACATACACATCACTTTCATGAATTTCAATTCTGCATAAGACAAATATATAAATGTATGAATTTCAATTCCAAATAAGACAAACATACATATCACATGAATTTTAACAAATAAATTTAAAAAAAGGTGTTAGATACCTTTGTTTGACATACTAATTCATGGAGTCTAAGCAACATACATGTGAAGCCTTTCAATTTGATGAAGAAAACCACATTAAAACAAGTTTAGGTTAGAAATTGTACATTGTTTGAAAAAATCTCCTAAGGAGTGATGGATGAAAATTTTGGCGAGTGTAGGAGTGAAAGGAGGAGAGTGGGGGAAGGAGAGGGAACATGGTTTAATGTTGGAGAACTAAGGGAGAATGAGTGGAAAGGATGATGGCTTGATTTAGTGGTGGAGAAGAGGAGGAGAATGAAGGATGGGAGTGGGAGGCTTATGTCAGGTTTATTTTCGCTTCGACAATTTTGATTGTTCAAATAATCAAGCACGTCATCGAAAGTAGTAAACCACCTTAAAAGACAGAAATACAATTTTACGATAGGTTTGGAGAACTAAGGGAGAATGAGTGGAAAGGATGATGGCTTGATTTAGTGGTGGAGAAGAGGAGGAGAATGAAGGATGGGAGTGGGAGGCTTATGTCAGGTTTATTTTCGCTTCGACCGAGTAGATTTGAAAATTTTGATTGTTCAAATAATCAAGCACGTCATCGAAAGTAGTAAACCACCTTAAAAGATAGAAATGCAATTTTACGATAGGTTTGATTATTCAAACCCAAAAAGTATTGGATATATGCACTGGTTTACGGTTTAAACCCGATATGTTATTTTCCCTATATAAGCTGAAAACTAGATAACTTTTAGAGTATTTCCGGTGTTTTCATCTTTCTATAAGAGCAATCTTTTATAGTTAATTACATCTTAAGCAATTGAAGTTAAGAAAATTATTAATTAAGGCTGCTGTTTTGTCGTCAATAAATTTCTAAGTTTAGGTTTTTACATTAGACATTGGATTTCTGAATGGGAAAATCTCAAAAGTTGAACATTTATTGATGTAAGTCGAATGGAGATAAGGTAGGGGACATTCGGAGAGAAGGTAGGGAGAAGTTTTGAATTTGGTTAAGTCAAGTCTAAGTTAGGTTAGACTTGAATTAAGTTTTAGTTAAGTAAAGTTTATTATTTGGTTAAGTCAAGTTTAAGTTGGGTTAGACTTGAGTTAAGTTTAGGTTAAGATTAGAGTTTGGTTAAGTCAAATCTAAGTTGGGTTTGACTTGAGTTAAGTTTAAGTTATGTTAAGCTTAGAATTTGGTTAAGTAAAGTCTATTGGGTTAGACCCAAGTCAAGGCTTAGGATAAATTCAACCAAATGCAGAAAGGAGAGAATAGGGTAAATATATGAGAGAGTACTTTTAAATGATGAAGATTAATGAATCTTTGTGAAGTCCAAACTTTTTGGGATGAAAATAGAAACATTGAAGCTCAAACCATGTGGTGGTCATACTAAAAAACAAATGATTAAGCTGATTTGTAAGTTAGACATGTTGAAATGAAGTTTAGAAAATGAAATTATTATAGATTTCTTGATAAGTTACTTAAAAATTATGATTAATTAGAAATGGATGATGCTTCCTGTGGCATTTAATCTTTGTTAAAATTCAATGAGGAAACTGGTTTATTATAATTTGTTAACTCGACCTTGAAATTCATAATTCAATGCTGTATTATGAGTTATTCCATCTATGATATATCACATAATATTCGTTCTGATACTTTTAACAAAGAGAATAACCACATACTAAGATATGATGAATATAATTAACATGGTGGTTTTAATATTCAATAAAATCCAAAAATTGCAACAAATTTAAATAAACCTCTAATTCATTCTTGAAGCTAATGTGATCAACTAAATCACCTCCAAAACAATGATTAATAGTGGATAAGTATGAAGTTGGTGAGAAAAAATGAAGGCATTGTTCTTCCTGATTCTGCATCTGGTGCTTATGTTATGTTTCTTCTGGTATATCTATAAGAGAACTGTCGACAATATCTTGCATATTCTTTGCAAACTTTTCCCATTCTATTTTCTTCTCCCATTCTTTCTTTTTGTCCCAATCTTTGATCATTTTTACTATAGCCTACAACATAGAGTAAAAGTTATAAAAAAAAAACATCAGATTTGAAGGAAATTTATGAAAGCAAGAAAAGAAAATAAGGAAAATTTTCAATTATTTCATATTCTAGAATGTGCTAGCAAGAGCAACATGTTTTTTCATGCTTTACATAAATAAGTACATTTGTCTAATGCTTATTCTAGATTGGAATGAAAAATAGATACAAATAAATATATCGTATGATGCACTATTTAAAAATGGGCTTTACCCTACGAATTTTGATTCTATAATCGAGCTCAGGGGTTATTCTTTTAATCTCCTCGTCAATGTCATTAGCCAGTTTGAAATTTCCCTGTCATAAGAAAAACAAGTGTAGAAATTAAATAAATAAATAAATATATAAAAACTTAACATGATATAAGAACTTATCAGCTTTGAGGCTTGAGTAATTAGTATTTATTTGTAACTATTCTTGCCTATTTTCATGTCAAACCTTGACCACTAATCCACTTTCATGTAATTGTCATCTATTGATAAAAATTAGTAATGTAATGTACTTTGCAAATTATTCATATTTATTATTCTTTGGTCAACTGTAATTAATAATCATCCTTACAAATATCAATCCAAGCCTCCTTCATGTAAATCTATAAAGCTAATGTTCTTAATTGTCACAGATTCTTATGAGAGGTTTTATTTAACATTGCTTCCTTTCAGTCTGTAATCTGCTTAGTGATTATCAAAATATAAACTTATGTTTAATGGTTAATGTGTTGAATTGATTCGTGGAACCATAGCTAGTCATTTCTCTAATCCATAATGCTGATGCCCAAGAATAACAAGTGTTTTAGATAAATATTTTAATAGCGGGTTACATGTAAATTTGTGAATAAACATTTATATATGATGCACATATTTCTTAGTTTATGTATAAGCTTACACAAAAACCGTTGATAGTCAATCTTAATATATGTTTCACCTCATTAGAAGACATTCACTATAAAATAATAAAAACACTATTTATATATATGCTTCACCTTATTAGAAGACATTCACTATAAAATTTTAATAGTGCTTTGCCATCACCTAACGTTCCCTAAATTCAGTTGTTGTTGAAATTATAGAATTCCTATTTTAAAATCCTTCCATTAATAATCTTGTTGATTGACTCCATCTTCAACATCAGGAGAGATTTGTGCCTAAATTAATATATGTGGGTGAAATCTTAAAAAATAGTGATAAACTGATAATAGTGCAGATCTAAAGTTAATGATCCCTAGAATGTGTAAGGAGTCCCGTCAAAATTTGTAAAACAAATCACATTGATGGATCTTATGAAAAAAAATGAATCTCCTATTATTTATGTTAAGCACATGTAGGGACTTATATAGGGGCCCCTATTTGTACCATTTTAACCAAGCGAAGTTAACTTTAGCATACCTAATGGTGTGTATCTATGTATGACCAAATTTGAGAAGAAAGAAATGGGTCCCATTTTGAGTCTACAACTATCATGATTGAGACATGTTTAACTGCCATTTTGAACATTGAGTCCTAGTTTTATGGGGATTAATAAGAATGTAGGAGGAATGGTTTTGAGCAATGCAGCTTAAAGTACTTGAAGCCAAATTTTCAAGTGAACTCACAAGGTTTTGTATTGATTATTTTAGTTTTTGTAAGATTTCATCTTATTTTTATGTCCTTTTCTAGTATTCGATATCGTTCTCACAAAATATGTTGTAAATACATTTATTTTATTGTCTTGATTTACATTTCTTGCAATAATGAGCCAATGACTTGAAATGCTACATAATATTTAAAGCACCTCATGAATATGCTTAGTTCTTACATTAGAAGACAAGTAAGAGGTATCTAACAAGCAGTTAAAAATTGAGTTGGATGTTAGAGTTTATTAGATGTTTTAAATAATGGATCACTAACAAGTACAAATTTTATTAATATATAATAAATAAGAAGTAGACTTTGGTAAATTTTCTAATGGTTAATGTATTCTTGCATGCATTAGCTAGTTCAACTGTTTGTGTGCCAAATTTAAATGTCAATGACCTATGAAATTGGTGGAAGAGTTTGCCCAACCATTTGAAGAGCCAAGTGTTAATAGATATAATATAGCAAATAAAAGGCAAATTTATTAACTTCATATTAAGGTGATAGGCAGGTTTATACATTTACTCCTTACAGTAAAATGTTGGGGTTAAAAAAAAAATTCATGTATACCATCACTTAGTTTATTCATCATTTTAGCAAATAATAGTATAACAGCGAAAGTAAATTTTATCAATTTTAATTTTTCTTAATATTAGTTTTTTACATGATACATATCACTAACGATTGACTAATTATACATTTTGACCACATCACACTGAACTAGAATTTTTGAGTATTTTATCAGGTGACATTATCTCATTAAGATTTGTTATAATTGCAATTTTCTTAAGCAGCAGTCCAACATGATAACACCCATTGCAAAAAAGATTTTTAGAAATGCACAATATGTAAATATTTTACAAGAATTGGATGCAACCATTGTACATTTTTTTTCTGAATTTGATCAAATTATTACACGTCTGTCTATGTTGGGTGCAATTATGATAAATGTTTTGGGTCACACAAAACACTTGAAATATGTTTATGTAATTTTCAAGTTTGGTTATAACCATAACTTATTAAAATTACTTTGATCTAACCTTAAAATATTATTAATTCTAATCCAAAAATTAGAAAGTTCAATACTTAAAATTGAAAATTTTATATGGTCAGAACAAACTAACATAAATTGATCTTCGACAGAATTAACATCACTAAAATTAAAATTCTTGTATATATACATATCTGACATCTGAATGTTGATATTTACTTGTACAACATTTTAATTTCCCAATCACATCAACACAATTTGCTTAAGAAGATGCATATCATTTCTGAAAAGTTAATGTTAGTGATACTTTTTAGGGAAATTTACATATGCAGCACACAATTCTTATGTATTTACATGTCACACATAAATAAAGATTTCAGAGTGAGAAAAGTAAATAGGAAAACTTTAATGTTTAATGGAATCCTGCAGCATGCTATGCCAACTGATGGGACTCCATAGGTGGGTTGTTTAGTATTCCGTTTATATCTGGTGAGGATATGGCCAAAGCGTAAAGGAAGAAAGACAATCATAAGGGAGCAAATTCTATTATTATTAAACTATCCATTATCTATTGTCTTTGTCTGCAAAATACACAGACAATATGGACTAATTGAATTCTGGAAGATTTACAGGCATACCACTCAGTTCTTATGCATTTACATGTCTAGCACCTAAACTTCATTTTTTACATATATATCACCTTTTCTATGTACCAAAAGATGCATTTACATTTCTATCATCTATTACTCAATATAATATATAAAATTGCAGTTTTAAGATTGTGTGGGTGTGTTTGTAATAGAAGTGAAGAACAGTAGTACCTTTATGATACAGACATCGATAAGTAGCAGTCCTATTTCCAATTGGTCTGGCCCAGGCTTTATTTCCTTCCATTTTTGTAATAAAGTTCCCCATGATTCATCACCGAGTTTCAGTTGATTCTCCAAGTATACCTGCACGCAGACATGAAATGGTTTTCTTACATTTTGAAACTGCTTTGTTGAGCTAATCTTCAAATTGTAAAGGTTTGTTCTTAGCAAATCTATGTCTATTAAACAATCTTATACTTCCCCTTTAATGATTGGTATAATTACATCACAATAGAAATACTGCTATTTACAAAACAATGAATTTACACGTGCCACGATAAAACCATTGAGAATTTGTATTTTTATCATGAATTTTGATGTTTGAGCGATAAATTGTAAAAGAGATTAAAGATGATACCGTTTTAATAAATAGCAATGTTTCGAGTGCTATGAATGTCATTGCCACTTGCATTAGTCAGTATCTTCTAGCCAAGCATTCAACAAGTGATAAAATGGTTGTGGTTTGTGAGGGATATGGGGCTCTCATTTCATTGCTTGAAAATATAATATCGTTTACAAAATGTTGATTTTCTTGTATTTGTTTTTTTTCACTGTGAAAAAAATGAAATTAAAAAATATTAGTGATTTTTTAGAAAATTTATGAGATTTAAAATTGATGTGTCATCAACAAATTTTATCAAGCACGAATCTCAATGCATTTTATAAGGTGGTTTCCTAGTTCAAATTATGATCATTTGGGCTTTGATTTCAGCAAGTTTATTGTCAAACTGATCTTCTTGAAAAGGCGAACAAAATGATGTCAAAATTGGTTCAATTTGAGTACAATTAAGTCTAGATTAAGTCGTTGGAGTTTAAATGGAGGCTTTGGGTCATCAATTGAAAGGTCAAATGTTTCAAATTTGACATATTTATGGTCGAATGGAGCGCCTCGACGAGGGGAATCTAACGAGCCTATGATAGCTCAACTCTGATGTCGTTAAGGCACCAAAATCCTTGAAAAAACACCTATGATCAAAAGGGATCACCATAGATCGTTCGATCAAGTGGTTAGGAAAGTTACGAACCCTTCTTTAAAAGGCTATAAATATACCACCTCATTTCACTTTGGTTTAAGAAGAAGATAAATTTTCAGTCATTTTTGGAGAAAACTCGACGAGTAACCACCGATTTTCGTAGACGCCAGCCACCGTCGACGATCGCCTGTCGGATATCGTTACCACTGCTTAACATCACCACATGCTGCCACCAACCATCGGCTATTGGTTAGCACTATTTCAACAATTATAACACGACTACAACCTTTGTGGTCAATTACTGCTTTTACAACTTTCAACTACGGTCTCTATAACGAAAAAATATTATATCAGGACTCCACACGTAGAGCTACGTGTGGAGTTCAATGAAATTACGCCGTGGAGGTGATCTGCCCGTAACACAAGGAATATTCTCCTCGTATTATTCAGGTGTTATTGTGTGTTATTCAGGTGTTATTGTATGTTATTCAGGTGTTATTGTGTTATGGGAATATTCTCGGTGTTATAATAACATAATAGCACATCAATAATACTTGAATAACACACAATAACACCTGAATAATATGAGGAGAATATTCTCTTGTGTTACCGGGCCGATCGCCTCCACGACGTAATTTCATTGGACTCCGCACGTAGCTCTACGTGCGTAGTCCTGATGTAATATTTTTTCCTCTATAACAAACCACTACTATTGTACCCACTGTTTATTGACTTTTATGACCAACTATTATCTTTGTAGTAACTAACTACCGCTTTTATGACCAACAACTATTGTTATAATTTCCAACTATGACCTCTGTGATTAATTACTACTACTGTAACCACCAACTACAACATTTATGACTAACCACTGCCGTTGCAACAACCAACTACTATCTAAGTACTATTATTATGAATTTCACTTATGACCTCTATGGTCAACTGCTGCTATTGTAGCCAGTGACTACTGCAACCTTAATGGACAACTACTGCCTTTGTAGCAACCAACTATGACATTTGTGCCAACTATTTTTGTTATAACTTCTAACCATGACATCTACGGTCACTTATTGCTATTATAACCTTCGACTACAGTCTTTATGGTAAACTATTGTCTTTGTAGCAACTAACTAGGACTTACGTGACCAACTACCACTACAAGAAAAAATGCTAAATCCGACGGCCTAAACTTGCGTAAAAAAAAAGTTCTATTTTCCAACGATCTAGAGTCATTTTATGAGCTGGGTCATTTGTGACAACATAACTTCAGAATATGTCGTCCCTTATCAGAAGTAATTTTTTTTTCCAACGATTTTAATTATTACCAATGCATTATGCCGCCGGTTATAAACAAATTTTAACTTTTAACTGAAGGCCTTATTCTGTCTCCTCCTGTTTTACCAAAAGAAAAATTTTCTGAGGCTCACTCCATCCGAGCAGAAATTTCAGCGGATTCTCAAAAGATGCCTAAAATATGGCAAACTAACCATACAAAAATGCCTACTCAATTCTCTTCAAGACAAATGCTGCAAACCTTAATCAAGGGATAATTTGGCGCAATCTTGTAGAATTCTTCAGGCAGATCCTTCCTTCTAAACATCTCTTCCAGCACCTCATCAGCAGCGAGTTGCAGAACCTCTTCCTCCGCAATCTTCTTCCGCATCGCCATTTGCTTTCGCCGCGCGACATCCGCTCCGCTGCTGATGGGTACATTCTGCCACGGCGCGGCGTGCCCAATCCTCCCCTTTCTTCTCCAGTCCGGGAAGGCAAACCCCATAGCGCTCGCAAGTACTACTGTGGCCACCAAAGCCAAAGCTTTAGCATGTTTTCTTGACTGACGAGGAGGAGAAGGTGGTGGGGGAGTGGAAGATGAAATCTGGCTCCTCGCGATTGCGCGGAGATGGCCATTGGAGAAGTTGGATTTGCGGAGGCATTGGAGAGTGGATAGTTGGGGAGCTCTGAGATACAATGAGGCTTGCATTGCAGTGTTAGTGTCTCAGGAATTAGTGTTGATTTTTGTTCTTTAGTTTTGAAGGAGGTGGGGAGTAGTGCTCTTGTTTCTTGCTGTATTTGCTTTGTGGGAGCAAGGCATCTCTTTAGAATTCTTTTGTGTTTGAGAAGTCATTTAAGTTCCATTCGATTGTTGTGAACGCAGACGTATAATTAGGAGTACAGAGGTCTACTCTTTATAATAGTTAGGGAAAATGAAATTATACAATTATGCTAAAATCACAATTGCTTTGAAATAACCCAACAAATGCAACTATATAAGAGAAGTTGGGATGACAACAATCATAGTTGGGTTACAATAGTTGTTGCGGTGACGATGATTGCTGGTAAGCATCAATGTTGCACTTATCTCAAATAGTTTTGCTTTAGTTGTCAGTTCTCTCTCCACCTCTCCTCTGCTATTTTAAGTGATAAATGTGATTTTATTTATAGATTTTGAGAGTGACATTTTAATGAATCCAAGTAGAATCCAAAACACTCTATCGGATGGTTCAATTTGATTTTCTTGATCACATGTTAATCTTTAACCATTTAAGTGTTTTAACAAGCTCAAATTAGATAATATTTGACTTGTTAGATTCCTCTCATATAGTCGCGTGATTTGACTAAAAACATGCCAAATTTAAAGATTGTTTGACCTTCCAATTGATGCACTAAATTTTTTTACAATACATTAAGTATTTTATCCAAAGCTCATTCAGATTTAGATTGGATCGCGATCAACGTCTTGGCAACATAATATCAGAATGCTCGGTTTAAATATAAATTTATTCAAATTTAGATGATTCTAAATTTGAATTTAGAAGATCGTTTACTAAAAATGCATTAAGATTTGTGCTTAATCATATCAATTTCTGGATGACATATCAATTATAACAATGCTGAGTTGCAGAACCTCATCAGCTCCAATTTTCTGACGCATCGCAATTTGCTTTTGCTGCTCCTAGAATGTTACTATGTCAGGGATTTGGCTTTGATTTTTCTTTATCTTTGAAGGGGGCGAGGCAGGGGGCTTTAGAATGCTTTTTGTGTTAAAGGAAAAGAAAGCAAAGCTTACTCCCAAGCTGTCAAGCTGCAAATTTAGTGCAAGAGATTTAGTTTGTGTAGCCAAAAACTCTTGCATTCTAACTGTTATAAGAGGTTGTTGTGGCTTCGAGTGCTCATCCTACGAAAAACAAAATGCTATAAAGTGGCTCAATTTTATAGTGTATTGGTAGGATATAAAATGAATCATCTTGAGATGAGGAGGGTTCATCAAAAAAGCTAATTGCTATAAGAGAGTACACATGTTGGGAATCCTCCAAAGAATTGGCAAATGCGGAATAGGATCACAGGATTCGAGAAAACACAAATAAAAAATAAATAAAAAGCATTATCAAAACAATCAGAAAAACACACAAGGACTTGACATGAAAAAACCTGAGAATGGGAAAAATCCACCTAGTAACTGGGATTTTTATACTTTACTAGTAAAATTTAGCTTTAAATAATTAATATTAATTAAAAATAAATGATAGTACTTTGATCATAACAAACTCGGATTTTTTTATTAATACGGTTGTCATTGAGGTTCTTAGCAAGGTAATTTTAAGATGGTCAAGCCAATTGGAGGATTGGTTGAAAGTTGCGGTTCAACGAACCAATTAGAACCCGTTCTCCGACAACAATTGTAGCCTCTTGTTCTTTATTTCATTAGTATAACCCCTACAAGGTGTGGGTTTTGCTTGTGTTAAAGAATGATTTCATTTTCATATATCATGATAGAGCCCCTACCATCTTAATTCCTTCTAATCCTCATCCTCTTCAAATACCAATGTCATGAAAGCATCCAACAATGCTAATTTTTTTCACTTTGATCCCCTACAAAATCTAAATTTATTTATACCATCTATAGCAAAAATCATCAAAATTGCACTTTTTCATTTTATTTCTTTGAAAAAGCAAGGTATTGGATATCTGCCCTCTATCTTCAACCACAACAATGGCTGTAAAACAGAGAAAAGAGATGATTGATGATCATGCCCTACTGGGATCCATTTGGCTCCTTTTATCATGACATAATTTTTTAATTGGTGGCTCAGCTTTAGCAATTGCAATTTGCAGATAAATCATTAAATAAAAGTCAGAATATACAAAGTTGCAACACGTCTTGAAACTATAAACTTCATATTTCATTAATAAATTTCTATAGAAAACATAGTTTTAATACAATGTGACATTTGTGCAAGTAACATTTTGTTGACCCGGTTTTATGTATAAAGGATTGTTAACGGTCTGATTTCGAGTCGAGCTCGGGTCGGTTCGAGATCTGCTTGTATAAGTTTGGTAAGGCTTGAAATTGGTCATGGCTGGGCCTGCTTGAAATTGAATCGAGCTTGATCCAACTCGAAATCAAAACGAGCTGACTTAAATTGAGTTATTTGGATCAGTTTGAGGTCATAATCAGCTCGATCTAGCTTGAAATTGAAACTAATTGACTCGTATTGAATTATTTAGATTCCTTTGAGCTAGAAATTGGCTCAAATTTGGCTTGTAACTTGTTGTATTCAATTGTGCATAGCATTAGGTATATAATTTTTCTAAATAAAAAAGCATTAGGAATTGTTCTCGAGTCAGTTCGAGTCGATCCATGCATGGCTTAAAATCAGTTCGAAAAAAATTCCTTCCAAAGTTTCAGCTCATAGCTCGGCTCGTTCTTATCGATCCGAGGCAAAATTTGAATCGATTTTCAAGCAATTAATGAACTTCGAGCAAAATTCACAATCAATTAAGGGTATATTTTAGCCACATATGGGTTAAACATTATTGCGTTTAAACTATTTGATTATCTTTGATGCTACCATCTATTTGTTCTTTTGCAATTTAATCTAAAGAAAATAGACTGCGAAGTTATAATATATATTAAAATGACATCTAGTATTGCAAACATCTTTAGTTAATTTCTAAAGGAGTTAAGTGAATTTCTACCAGATGCGACGAAAATTGATTTAAAAACAAAATCATTCATTGTTTGTTTATCAATTGTAATTAGATTATGCGATCGAGTGAAATTTCACATCCATTGCCATTATTGTGTCCCAAGCACCGAATATGAAAAGTAGAGGGTTGGGTTTTGTAGTTGACATTCAACATTAATTTTTTGTCGAAAAAATCATGACAATAATCATTTAAAATATTTTGTAAATGTTAGGGCATCTCCTGTAAGCGACGTGTTGTATGAGCTAAATACAATCAAAATTATGCAAACGCCATTATACTAGTGTCCATGTATAGTGTTAAATAAGTAAGAGTTCTCACATTAAGAACGAATGCATGCAAATAAATTAGTTCATGAAACTAATATTATGATAGGATCTTGGAATATAGGTATTTTCAAGGGTAAATTAATGAAATTAGTAGATATTATGGTTCGCAGGAAGATAAATATTTTATGCATTCAAGAAATTAAATGGGTTGGAGAAAAGACTGAAAAGATTGATAGCTTAGATTTTAAATGTTGGTATTCGAGTAGGAGTCTCACTAGAAATAATATAGAAATAACTATAGATAAGAGTTTAAAAGATAATGTTGTAACAATTAATAGAATTAGAGTTAAAATTATAATACTGAAGACTGTTGTTGATGGTAAGATTTTTAGTGTTATATGTGTTTATGCTTCTCAAGTAGGTTTGGATATAAATTCAATAGAAAAATTTATGAATGACAAACAAGAATTAATAAAAATGATAGCTTGAAGAAAAAAAAAATTACTGGAAGAGATTTAAATTGACACGTAGGTAGAGTGATAGAACTTTTAGAACGATTCAAAGCAACTAAAGTTTTGGAGTGATTAATGAAGAAAGTAGAATCATATCAGATTTTACTTTATCTTAAAATTTTGTTATTGCTAATATTTTATTTAAAAAAAGAGATAAATACATTATTACTTATAAGAATGAATCTAATAAAACATATATTGATTATTTTCTTATAAAAAAAAAGGTATCATCTAGAATGTGAAGGCTGTAAGGACATTTTAAGTGAAAACTTAAGCACTCACATCAATTATTAGTTGTTGATTTTTAGATGAGAAGTTGAAAAATTAAAATATAATGAAACATTGCCAGAGAATGAAACAAAAATTATTTTTGTGAGGAAACTATAAGATTTCAAGATTTGGGATGTTCGTGAAGAAGCTAATTCTACAAGAGCTAAAGTAAAAATCACTATTAAACAAGTGTCAAAAGATTTACTTGGAGAATCAAAAGGATTAATTTTTATAAATAAAAATAATTGGTAGTTGAATAATAATGTGCAAAAAAAGATAAAATATAAGAAGTTTTGTTATAAATATTTGTTTAAATATAAAAGTTTAGAGAACTCAGAGAAATATATGTTAGCCCATAAGGAGTATAAGAGAATAATTTTTAATGTTAAGAATTATGTTTTTAGTGATATTTGTGATAGATTGGACACTAATGAGGGTGAAGGACATATGTATAAACTAGCGAATCAAAAAGAAAAGAAAATTAATGATTTAATCTAAGTAAAGAGTAATAAAAAATAAATCAAAAGGTGATTTTCTTAGATAAAAATATTCAAAATATGTTGGTGACATATTCTGATAAAATTTTTAATGAAGTTTTTGAAAATACGATCAACCATAACAATCCAATATTGTTAATATTAATAAAACTTTTATTCTTGCTGTTATATTAGTGAAAGGGCATCAGTAGAAACTGAGGTATCCCAATAACAGAGTAAAAATATTTAAGAGATTTGAGAGTTTCTTAGCTTACTAAAACCTTGTTTGGGATCACTATCTGTTTTCTATTTTTAATTTTTGAAAACAAAACTAGAAAACAAACCTAAAAAATAGTGTTTGTTTATTTTTTTTTAATTTTAGTTTTAAAACACATGAGACTTGTTTTCAAAACATAAAACACATAACTTGTGTTTTCGCTATTTAAAAAACATATTTTTCGGAGCTATGCCGAAAAATATTAAATTAGCATAATCACCA